CATGACTGAGGTAGCATAGATGTCCCCATTCTTTTTCACTACAAGCCCCCAAGACCACCCACCACCCGTCCTTGTAAGTAATAACTAGACCACACTCCAGATTGGTATAAAATGGCCTTGGCAGCCGTTTATTAACAACTTTGATATATAAAACATACTATATAAACAATTATCAGAATTACCAGAACAAAGTTGCAGGTCTTTGAAGGCCACACCTTTGATCCGTTACTTGCGGCAGTACTACAACCTGTTAGGCCCCCAGCTGCAACACACCGCCTCGGGGACAACCACTAACTGACCGCATACACTCCAAATATCAATAGATGCATAGAGGACCCATACCAGGACAGGTCCCCAAACCTTCACCACCAGCACCTATTATTTGATGGCCTCCAAAGACCCCAACCGCATAACTACCCAGACTAGCCAAAAGTCCTTGGGCGGGCGGGCGGGCGGGAGGGAAGTTCACTCTACCACAGACAATCTCCAACTGCTGCTGAGAAGACCCTCCTCCTCAGACCACCGTTCAAGCCCCACCTCACCTTTTGACCTGTCCAATCAGGTAAGTGACCATGTCCCCAAGACCGAACCCTCGTTAACCTCTTTTAGCTTGTCTCCCCTATACACCTTGTCATGTATGCCCTGCGCTTATGTTTATTTTATTTTTTTCCGCTTCGGGGCTTCCTAAGTAACCTGTATTGTTACAATATGCTTTGTTCCTGACCTTCCCTCACCATCTGTTTTCTTATGGAGATTTTCTTTGTTGAGTTAGCTCAAAACATTTTTAAATTGTAAAACTCATCTAAACTCGAGGAAAATGTAATGTATTACATTTTAGAAGTCCTCAGATGTGGTGGCTGCATTTGTGTTCTTTTTTCAGGCTTTTCCCCCCTTTATTTCCACTTGGAGATCCTGCCAGTAACACAATTCCTCTCTTAGGTTGACAACGCTCACTCACTGTATTCTATCAATGGAGGAGCAGTGTTGTCACTGTTGGACTGGGCTACAGAACACCACCACCTCTTCTCTTTTCCATAACAGAGGAGGTGCTGTTATTTAGTTACAGAGATATCAAGGAACAATGCTAACTGATAATGGTGCAGCACAGGGAGAGAGCACAGGAAGCTATTAGCTGATACGATCAACAGGTTACTTTTGCACTTATCAAACAGATATAACAAAACAATTGCAGTGGTGTATTTAACAGAGCAAATAAGAAAAGTTAAATGTTAGGGTTTACAGGCAATTTAAAGAGGAACTATCCTCCTCCCCCCCTCCCCCCAAAAAAAAAAAGAAGGCAGAGGGCAAGGACCAGTAACCAAAGTAGCATTCACACCAAGGAGATGTTGGATTTTATTTACAGGGTTATTCACAAAAGGGTGAAGGGTTTGGAGAAGACAGGAGAAGTGAACAATCTCGGACAACATAGCTGAACGGAGAGTGAGGTGAATGGGAGAATTTTTCCAGATCAGCTATGTTGTCCTAGATTGTTCACTTCTCCTGCCTTCTCCAAACTCTTCACCCTTCTGTGAATAACCCTGTAAGTCTTTCACCAGTGATCTGGCCAAAACATGCCCCAAAACACTCATTGACCCACCAGCAGTGACCGAATAACAAACTTCCACTCCATCAAAATATTTTGGCTTAAACTTCTAGACAAATAGATGCTCGGGGATACAGGATACCCCCCAAAAATAGCAGCAAAATGCCCCACTGCTCAGTAGATTCTTGTAGTATCTTTAACCCCTGCAATAGGCCAAGGTTGAACTTTTTATGCCTGTGCCACATGCTAGTGTAGATAGGTAGGCCTGATGGACGGACAGCTACCTTTAAACATGTTCAGCCCTTCTCACAGGCCCGCTAAGATCGGCAACTTATAGTCGTGGACCTGTAAGCTGAGACCTAAAATCTGACTAAGTAGAACTCTTCTTTAGCTTCCTTCACCAGAAAGTAGGTCTGAGAAGCATTAACTAGGCCTCTCTGGAGCTACAGTATATTCCTCCCTGGCAGGAGGCCTCGGAAGCATGGATACTCTCTTCACATCTTCCCCAGGCAGCAGGCCTTGGAGGAAAGGACAAGGATCCCTCGCACTGGTATCCTCTCCAACCATAGCCTGAAAGGGACGGATCCAACTATTAGGTCTCCCCAAATATTTATTTCCTTCCCCAGCCCCCATGACTGGCATAAACCCTCAGCCATTGGCCAGGGTGAAATAAATAATCATAACCTGCAACATTGTATCTTCTCACTCTGTCTGCTGGAGAACACTGACCAGTAACAGGCAGAAGTAAACAATGTCCTGGGCTTAGGGAAGACCCAACAAGCCCAGAGAACAATAACACACAAGCTCGGGTTGGCTACAGCTTAGCTGCAGCACTAAATTTACACTAGGGACACTCCAGCTTAAGGCAGGGTGCCAACACCAGTATTGTCTGCAGCTGGTCTTCTCCCCATCACTGATTTACCATGCCTTGTTCTGCACTGTGTCCTTTGGTAGAGACAGGGCTTTACTTCCCCATATTAGAACCCCCAGCCAGGAGAACAGTGATCAGGACAGTGGTGGCCTCACTAAAACTCACTCACCAATGCCTTAGATCTCGCACTGTAGATATAGAGCTATGAGGCTGTAGACACAAAAGTGCCTAGACCCCCTCACTTACCAGAAAGTACTCTGCTTCTGCTATTGTGTTAGAAGAAGTCCCAGACAAAAGGTACATGCTTATGGGGGCAGATTAGGCACAATGAATACTTCCAGGGCTTATTTACACGCTATATGCTGGATGGATGCGTTTGCATGACACTAGCACCCAAGATAGTGCTGAGGTGTATAAAAATTCCTCTACTCCTCAGTGCCATCTAGGGGCTATAGTGCCATGTCCATGGTAAGCCGAGCAAAGGTTTTATAAATAAACCTGTATATGTTCCCTTGATGTGTACACATTTTGTACTTCCCAATAAACCCAACAGAATGCATGCCACAAAATAACCAGATGCTGTAATGTGTGTTAAATCCACAGCGACACACAGAATATTCACAGTTCCAATGGAGACCATATATGAGTATCATACTGTGAAAAGTGACTTGTCACCATTATTCAGCAAGTGCCTATCTTA